CTGCAGCATTCATACACACACGCACACATACTCATGCGATTGTATTTCCGACTCCCCAAGAGCTGAAATGCAGTAAACACATTGTAAGCCCATAATACACCTCCACACAATAGCTGCCTCACAATGAGCATTGTTCAAATCCTGAATGCCTGCCAGTGTAGCACAGCAGGCCAGAAAATCCTACAATACCCAGCATGCATTGTTCTGTACGTAATCTCAACCCATCCATTCAGTCCAAGTCTGTACTACTGTCCCATGTCCAATATTAATGTTTATGACAAGCTATTAAGCTTTATGGTAGGCAGCGTAGGACACAAGCCAATTCTGAGCCAGTGTGAGGTGTGTGTGTGTACATCTTTGCTCTTCCTGTCCTCTAGACCAGAGTTCAAAAAGAAGCAGAGTGAAGCCACCAAGGTCACCTCATTCTTTCAACAATAAATCAATAAAGTTATAGGCATAGGAGGAAAGGGGAGGGGGTGAAGAGAGAATGTCAGGACGAACAAAATGCCTTTTACAAAATTTTCATCTTTTATATGTTAACGTTAGGTTTAGGCTTAGAAAATTACATACACATACTTACATATATGTATATACACATATATCCATATATTGACCAGTGCACCATTCTAACAAACAAAAATTTAAAACAAAATTAATTATTCAGACCTTAGAAATTAGGGATTATGTTATGATCTACTCAAATATATAGTCGTATGCAAAAGTTTGAATTTACCCACTCAAATTAAAAGTTTTAGTAAAGTAAGTAAAACATTAACACATTCCCTACAAAGAATAAGCTTAAATAAATCATTTTTCTCATGATTTTCATGTACAATTTTAAACATAATAGAAAACAAATAATATTCAAACATAAAACAAAAATGCACTTTAACCTTTGCACAGGTCACATTTTGTTTTTTCAATTTCTTCCTCCATTGTTCAGTAAATAAACAGTAACTGTGTATTAAAATGTGCAGAAGTGTGTTCTCTATAGAGGATGTGTGAACTTTTTACTTAGAAAACCAACAAAAAATGTAATTTGACCAGGGGGGCCCCAAACGTTTGCATACAACACATATGGGGCATATTACCATACATAGGTACTTACATATACACTGGGGTCCAAAAGTCTCAGACGACTCACGAAAAATTTAACAGAACAATTCATTATAAATATATACCAGCATAAAAATTTGAACAAAAAGTAGAAACTTTCAGAATTTCTTAGTTTTTTGATGTTATTTTGCTTTAATGACAGCATGCACTCAAGTAGACACTGACTCCACAGTCAGTGCAGTTTATGCAATGATCAGTAGATTAAGACTAAAAAAGTCCTTAACATAGTGTCACGAATTTGCTTAAATCTGAGTAGTGAACTAGGAATAGTGCAGAACCTTCAATATTTCTTCATTTTACTTGTGATATCTTTATTGTTAATAAATTCTAAAATGTTCTGTTGTTTGTTTCCAGCTCCTAGATTTTCAATGTGCTCTCAGACTTTTGGACTCTGCTGTATAAAAATACATATTTAAAATACACATTATTATATTTTGGTATTTAGATATATTTATATACAACATGTGGGTCATATGAAGGGCCTCAAGTCCTGACAATGTGTATGTGTGCGTATTTGTGTGAGAATGTGTGTGTGTGCGAGAGAGAGAGAGAGAGATACAGATGAGCCCAAGGTGACCCAGGCCGGGTGGCTGCTGGGTTAGCATTAGCGCTGGTTGCTAGCAGTGTGCTGATTGCGCTGCTGGGTTATTTATGAAGCCTCCTCCTCCTCCCTGAGCCTTTAATAATTCAAACTGCACGGCCCTCACACTCCCCCGAGACCCTGCTCCCCGCACTGGAGCTCCGGGCCATTCATCAAACCCTCTTCTCTCTCTCTCTCCCTCTCTCTCTCCCTCTCCATGCTCTTTTCTTCTTTCTCTTCTTCTCACTCCTGGATGCTATATCACAAGTGAGCTTGACATCTCACTCTGGCTGGGATCTGGCTCTAGAGTAGTGTCTCTATCACAATTAGACTGGTGTTACGTCTGGGCTGGACAAGTAGGCATGTCAGGGGTGTACAATGCATCATTTGTTAATCAATATTGCAATGTTGTCCTTCACAATACAGGTCTTACTGAAGGCTGATATATATAAATGAGCAACTGACCCAGGGCTGCCTAAAAGGTAGCCTGTAAACACATTTGATTTGGCCTGCCATCACCCAAAACCCATCCCTGCATCCAATGAGAACAAACCTTTTTATACAATATATAACTTATTAAACTCTTATTTTCCTTTTTGAAAAATATTAGTAAGACAATATAGTATTATGTCATAAAATACAACTACATCATCAATTTGAAACCTTCACAACTTCTTTATTTGTATACTGTTTAGTCTCTCTGCCTTTTTTAATATTATTGTCTCATTTTGGTCCATTATAAATATTGCACTTTGACCCCACAAGTCAAAAAGTTTGGCTGAGCACTGTGAGCATCCAGCCCAATCACAGTTGTTTTCTGGGTATTCCAACAAGCAAATAATTTTGGTCAAAATAATGCACAGCAATCATAACTATGTTACATCAAGCGTTCACTAATATTTTTCAATACACTGGATCTGTATTTTTCATATTCTGCAGATCTTACCACAAAACTGGTTTATTTCTCACTATAACAATTACCTTAATTACACTTCTAAAACACACCCTTTCCAAACAAGATGTGTAATGATATCAATCATGTTGGCATTGGTAGATATTTGTTTTAAAAACAATAAAAATAAAATAATAAAAAAAATAATACATACATATATAAAGAAGTATAAAATCCCACACAAAAAATGGTTCAAGACCAAAATGGCAAAATATAAGCTTTTAATCATCTTAACAATAAATAATCAGCTAATAAGCAAGAACTAATCAAATAAATAAAATAACTTCACATGAAGTTTTATTTTTTTTTAAAGTACTGTGGGTAAACTGGCAGACAGCCTTTTTTCAAAAAGAAGAGTCAATATTGTTTCACTCAGCAGTAATGGTTTCAAAATAGTTAAAAAACGTTGCCAAGCTAGTTTCTGTTTAATGTGAGACCAAACATTTTCTATCGAGTTTAAATCTGGACTCTAACCAGGCCAAAACCATCAGTCAAGCCACATATATACATATACACACACACACACACACACACACAGGACAGATATTTCAAACCAAGATATATTTATTGTACTGTGGAAGAGCAGAACATTTAGGTAACACTGGGCTACTGTGCTAAAATGTCGGTGTCATGCATTTTACTGTGAATAAATGTTATATATCTGCAATGCTAGTTCAGGTATACATAGCCCCAATTTCAACATTTTATAAATGCTTATACATCGGCATCAGCAGATATGTACATGAAAAATACTGGACTATCACCCTGGTACTGTATCATCCCTCGACTGCCACAATATGCATCTCTGCTTACCACTGCTAAACCAAAAAAAAGCTTCATTCAGGGAACAGTTTGTGTTTAAATAATATATATGCCATTTCTCACAATACTGATGTCCAAAAAAAATCAGAAGCATTTTTTAGGGAAATGATATTAAGACACAAGCACATCTGCCCAGCTATAGGTTACTCAAACAATCTCTGCACTCACTGCCAGTAGAAACTGGATAGAGAAAAAAAGAGAATACAGGAAAAGAAGACTTTTCACTGCATTTATCATAATTAATTGTCACATTAACCTGGACAGCCTCACTAATTTCAAATCTGAAGAATAAATGAATATCATTACATCAACCAGCCTTTCCACCTGCTAATAGAGACTGACACACGCACACTACATCTAACTGATAGTAATTAGGGATGTGCACGGGTTCTTGAGCCCTCTGTTAGCTGTTCAAGGTGCCAGTTTCAATTCACAGCATTTCATCATGTGAAGACTGAGAAAACATACAGACCAACAATTTAGTGAAATGCTGAGTTTATGTTTTAAAATCAACCTGAAATCAAAATAGACATTTTTAATGTCTGTCATCATTCAAAAGATAAAATTCTTGGTTCTCTGTGATCTTTGATCAAAGTGTAGTGACTTCTGCGCGCCTCTAAACCACATCTGATGTTTGGTTGCATCACTGTGTTTTGTATACATGTATAAATATTGTAGTACTTCATTTTTTCAACATCTTTTTTTTTGTCTTCAGTTTTTCTACAAAACAGCTTCTGCTGACCGTCACAGACCGACTCCGTGATCGTAGAGAATGCCCACTTTTTACGATTCATTCAAATCCTAAAAACACATCCAAGAATTACTTCCCTCCTAAGTAGCCGGCTGCACTTAGAAACACGTCAGGTTAAAGAAGAAAAAAGCATTCAGATTTCCTAATCACGCTGACTTTAACAAAACTGTAAAGCGTGAAAGTTTTGATTATATTTGTGATTAAGTATGTTATGCTAAACTTTGCTACTCCGAAACACGAGCACTTTGACACATGAGCACATTGTTAAGGATATGCTATTGAGGATAATAGTGCAGCTATCAGCTAGACTGTTTGGATCCAAAAACGGTTCAAATATATTACTCTGATAAACTAACATATTGGCACATCATAAACAAAAGAAAAAAAGAAAAAGAGACACCAGTAGAAGATGACAAGTCTCCATCAGCATCAAGTGTTACTGGTTATCTTTAGTTTTAGCTCATTAGGCAGTCTCCTTTATGCTACTCATTCAACACATAAACGTACCATTCTCCCTTGGCTATTTTTGGATAATAAAACAGGCAGGTTTTGGAATGTATTCCTCTACATGATGCAATTTTTTTGCAAATAAAGGAGGAAAACAGATTTCCTCCTTTATTTGCCATTGCTTTGTTCCATCTTCACAGTTAACTGGATATCTGATCGTGAACTTATAACTATACTTTAATATCAGGAGTAGACAAAATGCACATGCCTAATAGAAACGTCATGTCACATATGTACATACACACACTAATTACAGACACAAAGCAGTTTACCATGGCTGCTGGCAGGCTGGTGGCTGTGTCTCCCTTTAGCTACGCTGTGTTCGTGCAAGCGCTGTGTGTGGGGACAGGGGTCTCAGGATACCCCCTCCTCATGCGCTTGCCTCTCAGCCCCCCACTGCACCTTACACCTGCAAATCCTGAGAGAGAGAGTGAGAGAGAGAGAGAGAGAGAGAGAGAGAGAGAGAGAGAGAGAGAGAGAGAGAGAGAGAATTAAGAAGTGATTTTTTTTCCATCCACTCAGCAAAACATGTTTTTTCCCCATCATCACTGCTGATAGATTCTTTATGCACAGCAGCAGTACAGCAGGATTTAACCTGGAAAAATAACAAAACAAAACCCAAATCCACCATGTAGCAGAGGCCAAAAGAGGCACCATCGCCCCGCCCCGTCTCTGACCAAACACAACCTCATTTCACCTCTGCTTCTGGATTAGAGATGCTACACAGACATGCTTCCACTGGCATTTATACACTGTCAGAACATGAGATCATACATATGGCAGATATACGTATACAAAAGCTGTGCTTCACATTGTCTCGATTTAACTCTAACCACAAGCAAATGTAAGCCCCAAGAGAACACACTAGCCACAAACAGACATGCTACTCACAATACAACAACAAGATACAATACAATTTGACACAATACATATGTTTGGTTACATTCCTGATATATACGCAAGTCACATATTGTTACTGTCTCCATTTAGTAGCCTAGTGACTAACCCTAAATACCTTTCATCCTAATCCTAAACTTAACCTCAGGAACCAAAATGAAGTCACATTTATAATAATAATAAATAATAACACTGAGCTTTGGTTAAATAATAAAAAAAATAAAATTAATTAACTAAAAACACAACCATTTTTCTGGTATTTGGCACATTTTTGACCTGAAAATGTAGCAAAGAAAAAAGAAAAACACACACACACACACATCCCTCAGGCAGGCAGTCTTTGTGTGCTGAAAGCGGTGAAAGCAGCAGGCTGTTCAGAGTGTGAGTTCTATTCATATTTGATAATCTGGGAGGAGAGCTGCTCCATAGACATGAGACAGAGCATTGCTTTAAAATATAACGCAAGAGAAAAACACACACGCACACACACACACACCTCAATTTTGCAGTGCCCCTCATCGTTATGTTAAACTGCTTACTCAGGCTAAACATGTCTATCATTACAACTCACATAACACACAGAAAGTACATGCAATCACAAACACACACAGTAGGGGTGGACAATATGACTATGTTTATCATGATAAACTACATCATAACATGCTTTTCTGAGCATAAGTGGTATTCAGCACTGAGCAGATGCATGTTTCATTACATAGAGAGCATAATTAGTCCTACTGAAGTGCATGAAGTGCAGTACAGTATGTGAAACAATGAAATGCATAGTTGACATGAATGATATTCATACTTCTTGATAGTATTTTTCTAAAGTTTTGTTTTCTGTTCCCACTTATCAAACCACATAAAAACTTAATTTTGTGTTGCATATTGTGTATTAAAAAAGTACACAACCCTGTTACTTAGAAATATTTTTGTTATTATATTCACCTCTACTATATACTGTAGACATACTGTAAACATACCGTAAACAGTCACATACACATATAGTCAAAAAGTGTTCCCTGCTCCATTACTTCATCTGCTTAGTACTTACTGAAATCATTTACAAGTGACAGCAATAATGATAATTTGTGGATCAAATGCTGAGGCTGACCCCACTAATCCCACTTCATCTGTCCTAATCCCATTACACACTGACGTCATTTCACCAGAAATATTGTTTCATTTCCATGCAGGGGGTTCACAGCACCCTAAACTAATGCTGTGCATCAAAGTAAGCCATGTGAGTGCATGCAAGTGCAGACTTCTATGACTAGGACATCAGTCTGATGTCTAATCCAGCTGTGGGTGCAATTTTGCTCTTCCATAATGGTGTAAAAATGCTTAAATGCATTGATCTGAAGGCCCAGATTTGGAATTATAACCAATAATAATAATATGCAATAATGTATGCACTCATATATTGGCCAAAATAACATTCTTGGGTTATTTTCAAAACATAAACAAACGCTGAACATGTGAGTGGTGGCTATGAGATAAAATAACTATAAGTAAATAGTAAAAAAGAGAGTGAATATCCATAAAATCAACAGACAAAGCCACAAATCTGAAAACAGCCTCTAAATGGAGCTCATGGGATGAGCTGCGACAGGCTCTGTATTCTCTGTCAGTGATACACTACAAACCTGTAAAAGGACTATGAAAGCATTAAGCATTAAACCTTAAAACCGTAACACTAACAAACTGGCTATCTTTGGATAAAGCCTGCTTTTCCGTGACAGTTGCCAGCATTAGCTTGCAGCCTTTTCTGTACTCAGTGAAAGAGATGTGAAAGCAGGGCCATCTGGGGTTTTGTGGATTTTTCCTTGGCGGTGGGGACATTGCCAAACCTGGCTGACCAATCACATCTGCTCAGACGAGCCGTGGGCCGAATGCCTCAAATACACCAGATATTCATATCACGTATTTACGATTAGCATATCTTTTTATACTATGCGTAAAAAAACAGGGCTTCACATGAACACATCACTAACAGTTTGAAAAATCACTCATCCTATTTACAAGAATTTTACATGTAGATTTAAAGAGGTTATTCCTTGTAACATTGTATTATTATTAAATTTTGTTGCCGATATTTGAGTGTTCCAGTTTTGCTGTCAACCACAGGGAAGAAGGAAAAGGAATGAGAGGCGTCAGCTGATATTAACACATTGTAATAACACAACAACAACAATGGTCAAATAAGGTAAACTCGTGCACTGGTGCTACCAGGCTAACAAAAATCAGGAGCATGAAAATATAGCAGAGGCGCACATCTCGCAACATGTTTTAATTTTTTTCAAATGGGGAAAGGGAGCTCTAAGGCCTGAGTAACAGAGGCTGCCCCTTCAGTTGAGCTTATGGGTTAACACTAATAATAGCTATGTATAGATTTCAGTATGTATATTGTGTGTTGTGAGTGTGCTGCAGTGTGTCAGACAAATTTCTATCACAGAATAAGGACAAAGTTGTGAATCTATGTAAAGGCTGACCCTTCAGACAAGCTAAATAGCTAAAGCTAACACTACAACTAAGTGGTGCAACAGTGAATGACGACTTGGGGGCTTCTATACAAGTTTTTTGTCCACAGAGCATGATGTGCCATTGTGTTAGTTAGTTAGTCGAGGTAACTTTAAGCTTATCTTAAAGTCTGACAGTGAAATACTATCACTGGTTTAGGTTGTAGCTAATGCCAGCTAAAGTAGTTAAACTAGTTAAAGTTGCACTACATCTCCTTTCACAATCATGTTCTTAAATGGACATTCCAACTACTTTACAAAAATCCCCTTTCTGATGACGCATCAAACATGGGGAAGAAGTTCCTTGCAAGTTTTAATACATTATCAGACGTGACAGAGCAACGCACACATGTTTGTGTTTAACACTGTTGGCCTATACCAGCGGTCAGCAACCCAAATGTTAAGTAGAGCCATTTTGGCCTTTCAACAAAAATCAAACCACCTTGGGAGCCACAACATTTTATGTCCATTTTATCATCTTGGTTGTAAATATGTCTCAGTATGTGCTGATGTATTTGTGAAGGCTAAAAATAGAAACAAAAACACAGACTTATTTTCCTCTGCTTTAAGTTTTAGCTCAGCTATAGCTTCTTTTATCGCATCTCCGGCAGGAAACTTTCCAGCAAATGTAGAATAGTTTCTTGTAAAATGTTTCTTAATGTTCAATTTTTTATGAGGCTGAAGTCAGCTTCTCATTTGCCAGTATGTACCCAGAGTAAAAGCTCATACGATTCAGATGTGTAAAGATTCATGTTGGTGTTTGGGAGGAAAAAAAATGCAGTGTAAATGCTCACGTAATTCAGTTTATTAAAATGTAAGTACAAAATGAATTCAATAATAAATAAAAAGTTCATTACAGGAGGGGCCCAACAGACAGGAACAAAATGAAAGGTTAAAGCTGTCTCGCTGTCACAGAGCTCTGTGGTGTGTTTTGAGATGCTCTGCTATTTAACACATACATCCTCTATCAGTTTATCAGTAGTTTGAAAAAAAAAAAAAGCCAGTTTAATGTCTGCCAAGGCAACCACAGACAGTTCCTCTCTCCTTCTTGCTCTTCTTCGAATGTTCTTGTTGATCACTCCTTCTTCCTCTCTCACTTTCTCTCCCTCATTCCCTCTGTCTCTTTCTCTTTCTCTCTCTCTGTCCTCTTTTCCTCTTTGCACTTGAGCTCATTAGGTGTGCGCCTGCGGTGGACTGAACAGGGGGCATGTAAATGACCGAGAGCAGATGGTGAGTTATGATCCCACTGAGTTCCATGGGACCATCTTTAGATCACCCTCGCACACATTAATATGCATTTAAAAACACACACACAGGCAGATATACATGTAGACTACACATTAATGACAGAAGTGAATTAAGTAGGGTAGCATTGCTCCAATGACTCATAATTTAGCACTATAACTGGGCTTAACCCTTTCAGCTCTGAGCAGAAAAGCAGCTGTTTCTGCCTTTAATTAAAGACACTCTGACCAAAAAGAAAAATGTAATCTTCACTAGATCTGTTGTAAATCTGCCTAACATCCTACTACAGTATAGTCTTTAAAATGATTCTTCAAGGGTTCTTCAAGGTAGAGGTCTGAACTCCCACAGATTTAATATCTTGCGGCACAGGACTAATTCGGTGCTGCGCGGGGGGCGGCAACAAACCAGCTACAGGCGGGAGCGGGCCAAAGCATGCATGAAGAGGAATCCCGCAAATTACTGAATAGTCTAAATAAAGTACAACAATCATTAAATCATAAATAAACAATATAAAATGATAACAGTAAAACAATGAACGAAGAGTTGCGAAGAGACCAATCACGTGAACAACACGTAAATTCTCATAGCTTACAGAGACAGCTGAGCCTTCAGTCCGCCGGCCACAACTGCCCAGCAAAACACCAAAAATAATCGTTCTGTGGTTTAATTTCTGCTTTGTGTTTACTGGGAATAAATGCCATTTGGTGAAGTCACTTCACAGTGAGTCTGACTACCATGACTACCGTGTTGTTTCAGC